CCATTTTTAATATTTGGTTAAACAAAATACATCTTTTGTAAACAAATCCAGCACAAGGCCAACAAAAAAAGGGAATAAAAGCAAGAAAAACAAAAAGCCTAGGGTTGCCCCTTCCTGGGCATCAGGGTCAGGCGCAGTCCCTTCCTAAAGGAAGTGGGGCTTTCTGCCCTTGGGCATCAGCATGGGTCCCTGCTCCTAAGCACAAGAATTGGATATGAATAGAGAAATCAGCCCTGAAATGTTTTGGCGTCTTTGCATATCCCATTGGCTCATGGACTCCAAGTGCATGGGGACTCCTTTGAAGTGCCATTTGCACAGGCCCAAGCAGGTATGTGGAGAGGAGTTTCTTCCCCTTCCCAGGAAATGGCTTGCTACCAGACAGTGCCAATGGACCCAAGGTCCTACTGTGCCAATCAGCCATGTTGGCTGTAACTTCTGGCTGGTGGTGGTTGGAATGTCACTGTGCAGGAGTAAAGAGCTCCCTGTGGTGCCAAGCAGGTCTGGTGTAGAAAATGGTGCAGAAGAGACTGCGGCCAGTTGCTGAGAGGGAATAATGCAGTAGCCGCTCGGTGGCTTCTGTTATTCAGCGTAAAAAATGGCCTTGTTGGATTGAAGATACATGTGCAGAAAAGTGCTGGTGTAAACATGCACTCCAGTCACAGTGGGAAGAAAGCCTCAGCTTCACCCCGATAAACTTGCTCAGGATCGGCATGCAAGCCCCAGGCCGGCTTTGCTGCTGGAGATATGTCTGGCCAGTGGAGCAGCTCTCAGACCTGCCAAGACCACTGATCTTTAAGGGCTAGTGGGTCATCCCTGCCTGCCCACCTGCCTTGAGGCAACCACAACCACTTTGGTGACACGTGTGTGGTATATTTATTTCCCCTCTTATTTTCTAAAGTTACAGGAGAAAAGTGGCCTACAACTATTTCAAGAGGTAGGGGGTGGGTCAATCCTCAGCTGATTTGTAAAGGAAACTACATGAAGATGACAAACCCAGGTCCTAAGACAATGCACACAGCCACCCAATTTGAGGGCTCTGCTTGTCAATATAGTGACTTGGACTCTGAGCCTAGGATGTCTGTTCACCCTGGCCGCTCTTAAGCTCTGAGAAGCTTATCTTCACAATACTTTCCTTACCCGACTCTGTCCCAAACTAGTGAAGTTTCATGTCAAAGGCGGACTTATTTTTTTCTTACTTTGCCAGAGTGGGTCAACTGGGAAAATTGCTCTTTGCCTTGTCTTTTGCTCCAGAACCTCTCAAATCAATGTAGTGAAATGGTAGAGACAAAACTGGAGTGAAGAAAGCAAGCCACCCCAGGCCTGTCCCAGTTGGGCTTTAGCCACATCCTCTTAGGTATCCATCTCACCTCTGTCACACAAAAATGTTGTGAGATTCAACCACATGACTTGGAATATGAGAGAACTTTTCATTAGAAAACTCCCAGGCTGGCCATAAGCCACCCTGAAAACTGGGGGTAAGAGAAAACAGCATGTACCACTGCTAGGGTTTTGGAGATGGTTTCCTGAGAGACATTTATGCTCCGGGTCCTTCAAGCCAGTCACATGCGCTTTATGTATACTGTCTTCAGACCCCCGGGTGTGACAAGGGGGAACGTGGAGGCAGCATCTCCAGGTGAGTCTGGAGCAGCGGTGACACTCCAACAGAACCTGTGTCAAGTCCTCATAGAAAGCGGAAATGAGCCAGGGCCCCCCCCTCCCCCTTGGTTTCTCCTCTCTTTTAAATAAAACGGGTTTGTGATCGCTGGCTTTAAGAGTGTACAGAGCTCCTATCTTCCTTTCCCAGGAACAAAACATTGGGTGGTTCTTGTAACAGTCCATGCATGTGTCCTATTGCACTGTCAAATCTGAAGGGGAAAGCCCCCATGAGATGTTTGGGGAAGTGGCAAGGGCAGACCCACAGCAGAGGCCACAGCACATCACAGAGGACTGAAGGGGCTGAGGCAAGGGCAAGGTTGGGCAGAACCATGTTACACATCAGTCCTCCAACTTTGATGGGCCTCCACTGCTTCTGGTACCACCAGCAGGAGTTCACAGTTCTTTCCTCGCAAATGATGTTTTAGAAATTTCCTGAGCTCGCTCTCGCCTGCAATCCACTCGGGCATCTTGAGTTTGGAGTCGAGGTTATAGTAGGCCCCTCCCACCTCTCGAACACAGATCCAGTGCTGCCTTTTGAGAGGCAACTTCAGTGGACCCCAGCACAGGCTGGAGGGCAGATTCATGATGAAGCCCATGACGTTAGTGAGAGCAATGGCACTGACATCCCTGCGCTTGTCCCACCAAACAGCTTTGTAGCCTTTGGTTTGAAGTGTTGCCATGATGACATTCACATCATAGTTTCCATTTGCCAGCATGCTCTTCTTGTGAGGTGTCACCATGGTGTTTGGAGACAATCTCTGGAAAATCTCTTGAAGCGTTTCCCGGGTGAAGGCGTTGCTGTCCTGGAAGACGTTATTGAGGGCATGGAGGGCGCAAAGCTCCCTGCGCTATTTCTCATGGTAGATTTGTGGGGGTGCTGCCTGGGGCAGCTCCAATGATTCAGATTTGGCCTTGTCTCCTTTCCATGGCACGCAACTCATGTTTTTTGTTTTAGGTTCCAGAGAGGGCTAAAAACACCCCACTCTTCCCTCCTGAGGAAGAATGTAAGCTTTTCAGCCTTTCCAAAATTCCTGAGGTCCACCTTATTCTCTGGTGTCCATACTTTATGCTTTGTCACTGGGAGAAAAGGTTGGAATCAAACGGGGAAAAACCCACCTCTTCTCTCTTCTCGATAGAAAAATAACTTTTAGATTGGTTTATTTTGCCACCACTGACAAAGTGCAGAATTTTTTTAAAAATCATAAAATGTAAGACCTTGTTTCCCTTTCCCCACCCTCCCCTCCCACCCCCCTCCAAAAAAACCCACGATTTTTCCTGCTGTATTTTCCTCTTTGCAAATGCCAACCAGGCCTCAACGCAGGGGGACTGAGCGGAATCGGTCACATTGTTCCTTTTCTTCCATTTCCTTCGAACCACGCCACTGACTGTGGAGACAAGGCCTAGGACGGTAGTGGATAAAACACACAGCCCGAGCAGCTAACAAGGATCGGCCAGCGTGGGATTGCGGGCCCTGCCGGGGCCGAGGCGGCAGCCCTCCATCCCCTCGGGTGCGGTGGGGGTCCGCAGGGCGCTGGCCAAGGCGGGCACGGCTCCCTCGAAGGCACGGACTCTCGCCCTCTCACCACTGCCCGGCCTGCCGCCGGCTGCCACCTAGATCTGCGGGCCGCCACCTGGGCCGCACGCCGGCAGGCCCTTCTGACTTTTCTTATGCATATATGTCATCTGTAAACACAGACAATTTTACTTCATCCTTTCCAATTTGGATGCCTTTAATTTTTATTTTCTTCTTGCCTAGTTTTTCCAGCTAGGATTTCTAGTACTATGTTAGATAAAACCGGCACTAGTGAGCATCTTATCTTATTCCTGATCTTATCATAAAAGCTTTCAGTTTTTCTCCATTGAGTATCATGTTAGCTGTTAACCTGAGGAAAATTGTAAAATTCATAATATGTGGAAATTAAAAAACACATTCTTGAAAAACAAATGGGTCAAAGAAGAAATAAAAAAATATATTAAACAAAAATGGAAATACAATACACCAAAACTTATGAGATGCAAAAGTAGTTGTAAGATGGAAGCTTGTAGCAACAAATGCTTATATTAAGAAAAAAGAAAGATCTCAAATAAATAACCTAACTTCATACCTCAAGGAACTAGAAAAAGAAAAACAAACTGAGCCCCAAGTTAGCAGAGGTAAGAACATAATAAAGATCAAAGCAGAAATGGGTAGAATAGTGGCTAGAAAAACATGAGAAAAGATCAACAAAACTAAGAGTTTTTAAAAAGACAAACAACATCGATACTGTCAACCTTAAATAATGAGACTTAGAAAATATAATTAAGTATAGAGTTTATATTCATGAAAAGCTTTCCACCCAGGAAACACAGACTCCAAAAGAATGGGTCAGTGTTGCAAAGTAGGAAAGTTAAGGTTATACTTATATAGACAGTTAACAAGGTTGCAATATTTTGTAGAATACTTGAACTTTCAGTAGAATATTACTATCTTATATACATACATTACTTGAACTGATATATTTTCTATTTATATTATTTCATTATATAATTTCCGGGAAGGTAGAAAGTCCTCCTATTGTCTCCTCTTTTT